TTGCAACTGTTAGCAATACTAACTTTATAAGGTGATAATAATCAATGTTGTTTTTACTGCTTGTTAGGCTTATCCACAACAATTGTTTTAATTAGGTGTAGGGTATTGGTACATCTGTAAAAACTGTGAGTATTTGACATACTCTATCTCACTGTATGTTCTGAAGTCCTTATGAGCCTTACATGGAAACACTTTTCCTTTCCCTTTTATTACACACTACATGATAGATACAACATGTATTTTAAAAGTGTTTATACATGCACATCATTCTTTAGAAATGAATCTTTCTCCTATGAAGACATATTTTATTATAGCTGCGTTTTACTATTATTTCATTCATTTTCAATGGGGTGACATAATAGACCTGCTAACACATTTATTTTTTCTGGATATTAATGAGACATCTCCTCCTCACATATATTCACACCCTGACAGGCATTTTAACTTTATTTTACTCATCGGATTTGATGGACATTACGAGTCTAGTAGAGTGAAGTGGATGTTTTCCCCAGGCCCCTCATTGGACCTGTATAAATACTTGATCAGGGCCCTAAATTACTTTCCAATTGGGAAAAAATGGAAAGCATTCCAGTGTGTAGAGCAGGGGTCCCCAAACTTTTTCCTGTGAGGGCCACATAACTTTTCCCTTCTCTGATGGGGGCCGGGTCAGTTTGTAACAGAAAAAGTGTGACGATCGCATGGGTGTCTAAACGTAAACATTTATTGTTTTCTAGAAAGCCACACATAACCAAATATTAATAACCCTTTCCGGGATCTTCACAGAAAAAAAGTCAGGAAATAAATAATAACACTATTAATGAAATAAATAACAACCAAATAACCCTCTCTGGGTTCTTCACAGAAAAAAAGTCCATTGAAAATTACTGTAACTTTCTGTTGTGCCGTGCACAATCTTAACACGTAAAAGTTTAGCTTAGTTGTCAGAGCAGAATCTCTCAAAAATAAACGTGGATTTACGTAAAAAAAACTATTTTTTCGGGGTTCGGGTGTTTTGTTTGATTTTAAACAAACAAAGACTTGGCTTTCAGAATATGAAACTTTTATTTCCAATTTATTTATTTCTCACTCGCAATCTGCTCTTCCGCAGCGCCGCCCCCCCCCCTCACTCCGCTGAAATTATGAATGTAAGAGTATAGTAATCATAGATAACACGGCAGGGTCCGTTACAGTTTGTTTTCATCTGATTTCAATTAAATAAAGTCTTGGCTTTCAGAATATTAAAATTGTTTCGGCAAATTCAGATGATAAATACAACTTTGAAGCTTCGGCATAATTACAAGCGGAGAACGGCAGGCATAACAACAGCCGGTGTTTCTCGTGAGTGTTTTCCCCGGGAAACAAACACAATACACACAAACGCAAAATTACACAAGCATACACACTCACACGTATACACACACACTCGCGAGCTTCCCCTCCAAACGAAAATATCTTCCCTCTGTAGTATTTTGATCATTTGCTAATAATCAATCAGATCGATGGATTCCAGAGAAGAGACAACTTTGAAGGCCTTTTTCTCAAAATGATGACTCGGTGACAGTCATTATATAATGTGACATATTTCGCTTAATATTTGAAGTACAAAAACAATCCTGATATCATTAGATAGCTAGGAATATCCTCTTTCCAGCAGTGTATACAACTCAAAAGGTGTCTTCGGGTCAATGCGACTGATTTCGATAGAGCAGGTCACAACATTTTGACAGGGGCTAGTCTAGGATTCGCGTGGCCAGACTGAAAAAAAAGAAATACAAAAGAAATAAAAAAAATAAAAATCATAATGCGTCTCTGGTATTGTTCAGGGGGCCGGGCCAAATGTGGAGGCGGGCCGTACCCGGCCCGCGGGCCTTAGTTTGGGGACCACTGGTGTAGAGGATTAGTCGATATTCAATTAACCCAGGCAGACAGTCATGGTGACTGTTTATCAATACCTCTTTTTAACTGCACACCCTTGGCACACTTCATTAAACTTCCCATTTAAAAGCATCAAACAAGAGAGCAAACTAACAACACAAACACTCGGCTAAGTTTGGAAGAGTGAAGCAGATCCATTGAAGCACTGGCGGGAGAACTGGTTATTTAAGAGAGTAAACCAAGTTCCTGCACTGGTCTGTTGTCCACACAGACTTTCACTGAAGTTGTGAAGACAGAAGAGGACTTTGACATCGTCAAAGTATCCATCTAGTTATTGATGTGTATCTGGGACATGTCCTGACCCTCGACCCCAAAATCATTCATTTCCTCGCATTCCACAGTTGAGCGTTTGAAAGCACTCGCATAGCTCACAGCAGACTGTGGTTGTGGCTTCACATGAAGGAACACTTAACAGTCACATTGTTTAACAGAACCAGTTGGAATAACGGGACCCTTCTGTGTAAATCGAGACATGGAGACGGCCCTCCTCCCCGCCCTGAGCTACACATCGTGCTACATTTGTCCTTTGCTAATCAGCCTAAAATCAGGGCCAGTGCACTAATCGCGGACAGGGACGTGTCTGTCTAGACGGTGATAATGATCTGCTAACATGTGATGATCCAACATGCCACTTCTGGAGTATGTCTTTTCGAGTGACTGAAATAATTGTTTGCTTGTCATCGGTTTTACGTTGAATGGCAGGGATTATATAAACAGAAAGGTTATATAATAGAGAGGATAGAGACAAGAAGAGGACAGATGATAAAACAAGCGGACTGAAAATATCTGGACAACTATGGATTTCCAGGATATTTGGTCATCCCTCCAGTTTGGGGATTCTCTCATCTTTCTTGTAGCGCCACCAACAGGTCAATGTTGGTTTATGAATCTTTAACTCTTTTTTTGATAATATTTTTGGTCCACATCATTTAAAGCACAATTAAACAGGGATGACATCTTCAAATTGTTGATGAATTGTATAAATTCCAATGTTATATGATTTTAAATTATCTCTAATAACAAGACTACTAATTTGAAAACTTGTTATTTTAGAAAATACAATTAGGTTGTGTTTCCCTGGTCTTAATGTACAGAGAACTTTTTTATCATATATTCTGGATATAAAAAAACCATTATAAACATATGTTTTATTATTATCTCCCTGTAATGAGCGGACCAATTGTTGCTTGCTTGTACTATTCACTTATCTGTGTGTGACAGTCTGACTCAGAGAAAGAGTGATTGATATGTATTGCTCTTGTTTGAACCATGCAGCCACGATAATGGACTCTGTTAAACTTTTTGGGGATATCAATTCCCTTTCTCGTGGACAGAATATGTATTTTTCTATATCGCTCTAGCAAATACATTGTTGTATAGTAATGGTTCGGAAATGTTATTGGGAGATTATTCATAGATATGTTTCACTGCAACACTGCTACAGTATATCTCACAACCCTTATTCACTACAATATGTACTGTAGGGAGCTGATAAGTTAAGGCATGCAGGTTGGATTATTCTCCAAAGGGGCCGCACTAACAGGCCCCAGTATGATAGTTGTAGACGTGATCTGATCTGTAACAACATCACTGTGTGGACTTCATCATAAAGCAGTGAACAGACCAGCAGTGTAACCAACAAGTTGTGTGTCTCATTGTGTCAGTCTCGCACGCTTGCAGTCCCATCTCTGTTTGTCTCTCCCTGCCATTGTGTGAATACCAATGAGCATTGAGCCGTTATCACCCGAGCCCGGGATGACAGCCTCCCAGTGATGTATCACTCATCTGCCTCCGTTTCTTGCCAGAGACAGGATGTGTTTTTTTAGGAAATGAAATGTCAAATGCAGATTCAAAGTTGTGATGGCTCAGCAATATCTGGAATTGTTTTAAGTTAAGATGAACGGCCTACCCCGTCTCTATAACCTTTTTGTGTTTGTGTGATGGAATTTGTACAGCTTTACAGATAAGACTTCATAGTGGTAGTGTTTGTTTTCAGTGCCTTCAGATAAGCATCCTTCCAACAGTTTTTGATCAAAGTAGTAAAGCTGTACTATGTTCTCGCCACAGCTCGATTGTAATTCTCCGGGCCTCCCCTCTTTGTTTAGCCCATTAGAGGGCTGTGCCTCTGTCCTCTGCTAAGTTTGCTCTCTGAGTTGAAATGTTTTCCCCTTGGGCGCCTTGAGCCAGCCCCCTTCCCCTTCCACTGATGTGGGGGTGAGCTTTCCCAGGACAAAGAGATGAATATATAATGGGATGAAAAAAGAGGGGGTGGGAGAGACAAAAAGACAGCGGGTGTGTTAGTGAGAGGGAGGAAGGGAGAGTGAAAAGATATACGGGGTTTGATGAGTTCTTGTCAAAGGGTTCAAAACGGCTGCCAAGCTCAGAGTGCAGGGACATGGCGAGAGGAAGAAGTAAAGAGAAACAATCTGTTCTTTTCCCGATTACAGACTCGATTGCTAACTCATTACAGACTCCATAGGGTGTGTGATACACAACACTCTCTGTAGTTAGAGAGTTACTGGAAAGCCGCTCAGTCCAACTGCGTCCCCCCCCTCTCCCCTGGTCCTCCAGCACATGGTACAATCCATTTAAAAGGCTGCATGTCATCTCAGTGTGTGCTGGGTCCTCTCTGAGAGCAGCTGCTCACAGCACATTCTCCTCTGCGGGAGCACTCACTTTCCCCTCCGCCCGCTGAGCTAAATCTCTCTTTCTCCTCTGTCTTTTTTCTCTCTCCCTCTGCTCTCTTTACGCTCTCTCTTCCTCTCTTTTCCCGCGCTCTATCTCTCACACACATGCGTTTCTGACAGTGTGGTGCTTGGCCACACAGACGTTATTCTTTGTGCAGTAACAGGTAGACATCATCTCTGTGCTGCTCAGTGGAGAACAGAAGAAGAGGGACTGGCGTTTTGGCTTTTTTTCTTCTTTATATGTGCAAAGTTAACTGTAGGAGAAGAAGCACAGGTGGAAGAGGAGGAGGAGGAGAGGTGGATAAGAGGAGGAGGAAGCTTCACCCCCTCTGATGCTCCACTTGACATCATGCTGCTCTGTGTGGATTTGGTCCTCAGGGGAAAATTCTTAAAATGATGGAAGACAACAAACATCTGGCTCAGAGGATTGATGGGGCTATCCAGTCCGCCAGTCAGGAAGTGACCAACCTCCGCTCTGAGCTCTCCGCCACCAGCCGCAGACTGGCCGAACTGGGTGCCAGCAGCCCCCCCGCTTTAGAAAACCATCACCAGTACAACCACCACGATGACAGCCTCCATTACCGGGGTGAGTGTCACAGCATGTGCATGTATGTATGTGAATGAATGTGAGTGAGTGTGTGTGCGCTCACACCTAATCCCCTGCCTCTCGGTGAGTGTGAGAACATGAACATGTGTGAGTGTTTGGAAATCAACAGTGGGAAGTATTTGAGGAATGTGCAGCAGGGAGACTAATATCATTCCAACCGTTCAACCGCGGACTTATTTTTCCCAAAAGTCCACAGCAGAATGACAGTGGAAAAGAGCCAGACTGAGTGTTGTTATTAGCCGGGAGGGGCTGGGGTTAGAGAGCGTGGGCCAGAGCCGGTCCCGGTTTGGTTTCCCAGGCTGCAGTTGGGCTCCTCTGGGGCTGCTCTCCCTCCAGCTCTGGCCCCCTCTCTGCTCTCCCCGAATCTGGCAAGGAGTCTAAAACTGAGCCTAAGGCAGAGGAACTGTATGCCAACATCTCTGATGGGCTGCCGACACCATGGCACTCAGCTGGGAAAGAGATGTGATGAATGTGGAATGAGCTTTAAACTGAAGTATTCATGGGAATGTTGACGTTTTGGCTTCATATCCTGAAATGTTATACTTACATACTCTAATAGCACTGCTTTTACTCCTTTAAGTTATAACCTAAGTCTGCTAATAAATACTGTATTGTATTTATTTGTTGCAGACCTAAAGACGGTTGCTTTTTTATAGTTATTTTATGTGTGCTTCAGCTTGGGCTAAACGATTGGGCTGTCTCTAATAAACTTTTGTATGACAAATTCTGTTAAGCTTATTTATACAGCTGACATTTTGGTTTAGTTAATGATGGATTTTATTTTGTAATGATTGGAACAACTGTGAACAGGAGAAGTTAATCTGATTTTGTTTGTCTTTTACCCTTTGTCTGATCAAATCAATATATCGAGTAGAGACTAACGCTACCAACAGAATACACTGAGGGATGGGATGCAGATTTATCTTTTCTTTGGCTGCTTGAACATAAAGTTTGGCTTTCTGAAGTATAGAAGAGGCAACTGAATAAAAAAAGGCCTCACGTTGCTAGTCTTTTGCCTCTGGGTGTCTGTGCTCTGTATTTGACTCAGATACGTGATGCAGCCTGGAGGTTATTGAGATCGTACCCTGCCAGGCAGCTGGCTGTCACTGTCCATTAAGTGCTTCCCTGTGTCGGGCATATGTAGTTTAGCAGCAGGTGACTCCTCATATCTGCTGCTGGCCCTAAAGGCTGATCTGTGTGAAATGTGGTTTGAGAGTGTTGTTGTGGTTGTTTGTATGCTACACTAAGCATGCGTGTGTGTGTATCCTGCGTTTCCTCAGTCTTGCTTGTTCACATTCTCAAAATGTATAACATTAGTGTGTCTTCAAGTAAAAATGAACTGCACTGATTTTACAATGAGTCATCTCACAGTAGGAATGCATTTTGCCATTATGGGGAGTGAACGACGACACAGTGATTTTCGGGTTAAATCCATGTGTGTCTTTACGACTTTGTTATTGGGCATTCTTTCTCTATTGTGTCTTGCAGTCCCCCAAGTTTATGGGATTGAAAAACTATTCGATTTTACACCCCTTTAAGCACATGCAGAGTGGGGGAAGTTAATCAGGATGTGGTGTAAGGTCAGCAGCACACAGGGAACAAACCACAACAACAATAGCTGAAAGTTATTGGAGAGAAAAAGAATGTCGTTGTTGTTACTGCTTTTTCTCTTGAGCCCTCATCAACAAAAGCAACCATCATGAGGAGGAATTTTGTATGCAAACTGGAAGTTTTCAATGTACATAATCAAGAATGGAGCAGGGCTGACTCTGCTGACTAGAGAATATACTTTTAATCCTCTAGGTACACATATAGTCCACAGACAAGGCATCCTGCTGCACAGTTGTGGTCTATGCTTTTTTTAAGTGAGTAACAAAACTCACAAGTAGTTTTTCTCTATCTGTTGGCCTGAGGAAGAAACAGCAGAATAATGGTTGTGTTAGTAGGTCATATTGAGAAAATACAGGTTGAGTGATAGATGTATGTGTTTAAAGGGTTAATATATGCCCAAATATTAAACAGTTTATAAAGAGAGATGTAAACCTCAGTAGGATGAAGTAGACATATTACCAAGTAAACTATTAGGAATGTCCATCTGCATGCATTTGATTGGCCGATGCATTAGCCTTTATTTCGCTTCAGCTATAGCAAAGCCAGGTCAATTTACTTGCTGGATGACAATGGGTCAACAGAGTGGTCCCATTCAGATGAGGGGTAGCCTTTTTACACCACAGGGCTAAGCTTGGCCTTTAGTCTTTACAGTTGGAATAACTCGGCTGCAGTGAGTTATCTGTCGTTTCATCCGGCTCGCTCTCTGCTCTCTGCTGTTAACATGCAGCCTGACATTCCCACATTCCTGAATGTCAGTGATGTCATACTTCCTGTTCCCAGAGGCCAGGCCAGCAGTCAGGTGATTGATTTAACCAAACACAGCCACTCAGCCCTCCGCCACCCTCCTCTCCACCAAAGTCACACATAGCTCTCACCTCGCCTGCATAAAGAGGGATGATCCGAGGAACCGCTTAGCTTAAGGATGTTTTTTTAAAGATTTTTAGTTTAAGATGATTCTGAGAGATCTGTCGGCCGGGTTAGGCAGTGTGGTGTCAGATGAGCCAGCGTCAGCGTCCAGTGGCTTAGGGAGATTAAATGTTCTTTAGGTGTGCATCCCTCTCAAGGCCAGGCTGTTTGTTGGTCCAAATGTTGGCTCTGTCCTGTGCAGGATCAAAGCAGCCACCACAGACCTGGTTTTTTAATGTTGTGGCAAAATGTCAGGATTTTTGCAGTTTCCCTCTGGAGCTTCAATAACGTCTCTGACAGATGTCCAATAAGGCTGTAAAGTTAAACACAACACTTCAGCCTGTTGTTCCCTTTGGCCTTCGGTCTGTAATAATGAGAAACAAGAGATTAAATCACCTTTATATACAGTCAATGCAACTTTCTCTATACCCTGCATCAGGATTTAACTTGCTTTTGTATATTTTGTGTAATATCTCAAAGCATATATCGTTTTACAAAAGGGTGTTTGTTTAATGTCTTATTTTTCGAGTATATTAGAGTCAATGGAAAGCTGGCTGAACGACCTGCCTCTGTTTATTCAAGCCGTTGACATTATGTATTCATTGTCGGGGTGATGACACACCTCTTATTATTAGTCCTTCCTCTTAATCCATCACATTGATTTAGAGGCTGTGTTTAACGTTCCCAAACAACGCGGATGTTTCAGCATCGACTGCATTGCTGCAATATCTATTGTCCGTCTTGTGGCGGAAACATATCCAGCTTGCACTTCATTTGTCTCAGGAAACAGAGTCTGTATGAAAAAATGTTGTCCTCTAAAATCAATGTGTGCTTCATTATGGAATATTACCTTATTTATACTCACATACTCTTGGTCTGTCGGTGAGAAAGGGCTCATCACACACTCATGGGAATCTGCCAATACTAATCCATAAACCTTTCTAAAACACAAGCAGGGGCAGACGTTGGTGACTCATGCAGCTTGGGGAGTATGGATGACACAGTTTCACTCGTCCCTGAGCATCAGGGTCAGTCACAGTGAAGGTAAAACAAGGGGCTCAGGGCGAGTTATTTTGGATGTTCAGGATTATCTGAATACATTTAATTTTCGAAATAGACAATGTTTGGTGACTTGCATTCGGAGCATTTCCAGGCCTTGAAAGGGGATGAAACAAAAGATGAGCACCTGTGTTTTAAAATCTCTAGTTTACTGATAGAAAGCTAAAGGTACACAATATAAAACATAGTCAGATGAAAGAAATCTCTGATGTGCGCATGGAAGCTAAAGATTGCACTTTTCAGAAACCTAATGAAACACTCATAGTTGTGTGTGCGTTATTTATTTTATTTGTTACAGTTGTGTTTCTTGCTCGGCTTCCTCTCCATAGTGACAGTGGTAGAGGCTCATTATTATTCTTGTATTCTGATAAACACATTTAAACAATTAACACTGATAGGTCAGCCATTATGGTATTCTAAATTCATTTAGGAAACTCAGCGTTTCTATGCTATCAAGTGTTAGTGCTATTAAATATGAAGTGCTTTTTATGGTAATCAGGACTAAAAGTGCCTTGGATTTGTCCTTATTATTTGCAAAAGACATGACTCTCTAAGCAGTATTGTTTGCTAAGTGTGACTAAAACAACATTTAAAACAGTTTAGGAAGTAAAATGCCCTCCAGTTTTGTCCTTATTTGTTTTTACATTGACATAACCTTAAAGTAAACATTACAATGAGAATTCAGATTGGTTTAAAAGTACTTTCTGCAACTCTGCAACCCTATTAAAGGTGCTATGGAGAGCATGGCAGTCTATTTAATTCAGCAGAAGAGAGAGATAACACAGCTTAAGGCTTTGAGACATTCTCCAAATTGTACAGTATGCGAAAAAAACTTGTTGATTAAGAGTTCTCTTAAGAGAACTAGTGATTATCTTTTCTCAGTAGAGGAGAAGCTGCACTCTAATGCTCTTTGCTGCAGAGTAATTGTGGGTAAGAATCCTCTCCCCATCTGGCCTGAGTTTGTCAGAGGCCCCGAGTCTCTCATTACTTCATCGCGCACATGAGTAGGGCTGGGAACAGGGCGCCAAACTACTGGGGCAGAATCCCACCCACTCCAGCTCTTTCTCTTTCTCTCACTGTAACGCTCACAGGGGACCACCCGCCTTCCTGTCCGCTGTCCACATGCAGGGAAAGTATGCAATGGGCTCTAACCTTCCCCCTGTATCCATCACCACCCGAATACCTCACCCCCTCCCCTCCTCATATTTCCTGCCTGGCCTCCCGCAGCCACGCCCTGTCTGTGGTCAATGCAGCATGAGAGGAACTGTGTCCAAACAATAGCAAGAGAGAGGCAGCCCCTCACTCCCCTAACACTTCACCCCTCTCTCTTCCTCTTCCACATTAGACTCCCTCATGTAAAGAACTAATCATGGCAGAGTTAGGACTCTCCAAAACCAGATGAG